CCCCAAAACCCCAAAACCCCTTCAAGAGAATAATTAGCAATTAGTGCATAAAATTGATATAATTAAAGTTATTATCATTTTAAGTTGAAATCAAATGTTTCAGTAACCTCATCCAAAGCCTAAATAGATGGATAAATCCTAAGTACTTGAATAGATGGTTTAGCATGGAATTTATTAAAATATTTTTGGACCAAACCCTGATAAATAAAGACTTATAATGAGATTCTAAAAACTCAGAGAAAAGATGATTAAGAATTTTTCAAGTGCAAATAATCCAAAGATCATACTAGAGCACTTTATGGAAAATTTAGCGATGTATCAAATGAGTGGGCAAGAATAAATGGAGAGATATAGAGTTCAAGATAAACCTGTTCCTGTTTTTAAGTTATTAACTAATGCTAAGGATCTACTAAGATATTCTCCAATTAGGGTAAAAGACTTAAAGATAGAGTAAACTCATTTTTCAAAGTACATAGAACTTAAAATCAAAGTGAGCACATTTAAAGGGCAGGGTTTTCATTTCATAGCTTAGGAATTAGAAGAGGTAAAAGATGAAGATGAAGAAATTAATCAGATTGTAAGCTGTAGTATCTACAATATGGAAAATACCTACGATGTTAGAAATTTCTAAGAAGGATAAAAATTTGTTGTACTGGATCCCTACTTTAGATTTGGGAATGATTGCTCTCCTTTTGTCAAAATTGAGGATAAATCTAAGCTTATACTCCTTCAGAAAAACAAATCTCTTAAAGAATTAATAAAAGGAGCAATTCAGGAAATGACACCATTAGATTTAAAAGACTACGGGAACAAGGCATTTTAATAGTCTGATCCCCAAAGTGCAGTATCTATATATTCTCATGGTATAACCAAAGCTCGAAATGCCTTGGAATCTTAATCAAATAACTAGATCCTCGTGGCACTCTATGGGAATAGAGCTCAATGCTACTAGAATCTCAAATAATTTGAGTTGAGTTTAAAGGATTGTGAGGATGCTCTGCAGCTAGACCCAACTAACTTGAAAAATTAATTTAGGAAAGCTAAAGCTCTAGGATTTTTAGATCAAGAAGAGGAGTCTCTCAAATAATTATCAGAATTAGATGAAAACTAATCGAATCAAGATATTTAGGAAGCCATCTAAGAAATAAAGTAGAGATTAAACTAAAAATCTGGGATCTACAATTATTCAAACTTGATAAAGACTTAAGCAATACTCAAAAACAAGAGCGATGACTTTGTAAGAGAATACATTGGTCCAATTTAAATTGGGATGATAAATAATAAAAACAGAGGTGTAATTGCTAAAAGTCAAATAAAAAAAGGTCAAGTAATATTAGTGGAAAAAGCATTTTCAACAAATGAATAGAGATAGGATCTCAAATTTGAACTAGAATAGACCTATGTATATCTTGATCATCCAGGCAATATACCTCTTTTGAGAAATACTCAAATCTCAATGTTAAGCGCTGTTAAATCTAGTTAATGGGTAAAATATCTTTACAATGGCAGTAATGGTGATCTCTAAGTTGATCTCAATCTTATTAAATAAGTAGACACTGATTGTATTGAGGATTACAAAATTAGCTATGATGAGATGACTTAAATGGTTAAGTTAAACTAAGCAGAGTGCTGGCCGCTTAACAAATACTTAGCTGATTTAAAAAATATGAAGAAGAAAAGTTATAAAGAGAGAGATTTCGATGGAAAATTGAGCGCTATTTGGCCAGTCTTTTCATTTATGAATCATGATTGCTACAATAACACCTAAAGATTTTCAATTGGAGATGTGCTATTTGTAGTGGCTAACAGAGATATTTCAGAAGGAGAGGAAATTACTGTTTAATATGTTGCTAGAAATCTCAGTTAGGCTGAAAGAGTTGATCTATTTTAAAATGCTTGGAAATTTACATGCTAATGCGATTAATGTCTAAAATACTAAAATATACCATAAAGCTTAAAGGAAATTATGAAAATCCCTCACAATAAGTCTTTAAACGATTAACAAAAGAATTAGAAATCATCAGATATGTTGGTAGGTTACCCATTCGTTCTTTAGTATGTTATTGAAAATGATTTAAACAAGCACTTCCTAGCTGAGTTTCATGCTATGTAACAAGAGATGCTAGCAATCTACGGTCTGAGGAAAGATGTTGAAAGCTTTAGTAAAACTTGGAATTATTTTAAGATTCATGCTGACATTGAGGATATGTGCATAATTAAAATGGTATCTGAAAAAGCTTTTGGCAAAGATTCAAAGATTTACTAAGAGATTTCATAGAGTTAAAAAGAGTTATTTATGACAATATTTAACAATGATAAAGAGCTTTATGAGAACTATGGGTGAATTACTCACGGATATTTAATATTGCTAGAGAATTTACAAACTCAAAATTCAAAAAGTTTATTTTCAAACTCTAAATTAATTATTTATCATCACTTTTGGGGTTTTGGGGTTTTGGGGTTTTGGGG